TTCTTACATTTTCCATTTTAGGTTGTATACGAAATAATAACCCTCTGCACTATGCATCGCCAAAAGAAACTCTAGTTATCGATTGGGGAAATATTTCGAGTCTCACCACGTGAAAGAAAATTATTAAACATACATACATATATAGTCGAAAATGTTACTTTATTTATTTTAATTTTTATATTATTTTTTATTTATATTTTATATTATTACTTTATTTTAATTTTTATATTCATTATTTATATTTTATATTATTATTACTTTATTTTAATTTTTATATTATTTTTTATTTATATTTTATATTATTACTTTATTTTAATTTTTATATTATTTATTATGTATATTTTATATTATTATTACTTTGTTTTAATTTTTATATTATTTATTATTTATATTTTATATTATTATTACTTTATTTTAACTTTTATATTATTTATTATTTATATTTTATATTATTACTTTATTTTAATTTTTATATTATTATGTATGTTTTATATTATTACTTACTTTATTTAATTTTTATTTACTAGTTATTACTCATTTTAATTCTTTTAGTACACAGACCTTTAGAACCTATTCGTGATAATATAACAAAGTTGCTTCAATTTCATTCTACACTACTACCTCCACAAAAAAAAAAGTACCATGTAAAATATCGCCAGCCTGTAGTGTTAATTCACGGCAGTGTAGCACTGAAATTACGTGAAATTTCGAATACTTTCACGAGCCATTGTCACGGCCGGATCGGGGCCGGTGTTTTTATCGAGCGTTAAAATTTAACGGCGGGCACCGGCTCCGCAACTTCCGGTGTTTCGTAGGTTGGCGTTTTCGCCCCGCCACGAGTCACAATGAAAGCCACCCCGCGCGTGGACCGATAACAATGGCAACCAGTGGGAGCCAGCGCCGATCGTGGAAATGCCTTGATCCCACAAAAGGTAGCTAAACACGGGCTACGGGACGAGTCACCGGAGCCCTAGTCCTCCCAATTATACGTGCTCTCGGCTCGCAAGCGGATTGACGGTTGCTACGGAACGATAAATCGCGACGTTGATCCGACATTCTCCATTGAATCGCGAGCGAATCGTGAGCGAGGGAATCCGATCGTGCCGCCGAATATTTTCAACCGAGGGCTTTCGTGGCTTTTTTTAACCGACCACCGTTACTGCGAGGTCGCGTTGGTCGCGTTAAACCAGCGGTCGACTATCTCCAAACAAGTCGAAACGTTTCAAAACGTTTGAAAGGTTCTCGGACTCTGGGCAGTTTTCGATCGTTTGAAGTTTCCGGGTTCGACGATCTTTTTTCTGGTCCCTCTCTCTTTGTCTCTGAAGCTTTAAAAGCTTTGCCTCTTTTGAATGGTGAATTTCGAATTCTTCCAAGCCCGAACTTTTCAGATTTTTGAATCTTAGGAGATTGGAAGGTTTTTGAATCTTTGAACCGTTGGAATCCTTTTGACTTTCAAGTCAAACTCCGTGTTTTGCGTCTTCGGATGCTTGACTATTCGAATTTCTGGAGTTTTGAATCTTTGAAGTTTTAAATTTTTCGGATCTGTGAATCTTTGTGTTTTTGAATCTTTGCGTTTTTAAATCTTTAAATCTTCGAATCTTCGAATTTTTAAATCTTGGAATTTTTAAATTTCTGGATCTTTCAATCTTCGAATTTTTCAATCTTTAAATTTTTGGATCCTTTGATCTTTGAATTTTTCTATTTTTTTGGTCTCTGAATCTCTGAATCCTTGAATGGAAATGCAACGCATTGAAAGATTGAAAGCAACGTCGAAATTGATAATTTTTTTTAAATTTGAGTAACTAATTAGCCTCTGTCAGATCTCTGGAACAAAAACGCGTCCGACGTTCCTCATTTTCGCAGTTTCCATTAGAGCAACATCTGCCTTCTTTCTTGGCACGCATTGACGTACTAGTTGGGTCAAACGACAGCCTCGCAGCTACGTTCACCCCCGGTCGCAATTATCTTTTTCTCCCTATGTATTTTTCCCTTTGTTGTTCATCTGGCAGCTCGCTTGACGGATGCACAAAGGCTCCCTGGCATTCGCCGGCGAATTCTGACGTTCCTCATCCGCATCGTTCGTCACAATTTTCTAAAGTGCCTGGTCACGCTTCTCATTACGATCGCTGGAATTCGTGTGACAAGCAAACGTCTACAAACAAACTTCCGTAATTTCGTTAATGCTACTCTGAGCTTGTCATACTTATTCCCTTCCTCCCTACTAAGAGATTTTTCCCAGACATAGATAGAAATTGATCATTCAAATGAAGCTTAAATCTGAATTACATACAACGTAATGAATAATTTCCAATAGTTTACAATAATAATGTGTGATTTGATAATATCACTAAATATTACTTTTTTCTAAACTAAATATTACTTTTCTCTAAACTAAATATTATTTTTCTCTCATTTTCCTCGCAAATGAGGAAATATATCAACAAATCTCTCTTTACAATTTAAGCTAAAAGTATTTTTGAAGAATAAAAAGGTATCATTGAATCATAAAAGATATTTTAAATAATTGCAACCTCAAAGGAGGACTATCTTCTATTAATTTTATCGAATTAATTCGAGACAGAAATCCTAGTTTTCAAATAAATTTTCACTCGGAGAATTATAGAGAGCCAAACGACAACCAACTATCTCAAACCAGCGAGTCCTTCAAAGAACATCATCCAACTGCTTCAAACCAGCGTATCGTTCAAAGAAAACTGAGATTCAAGGACGATTTCCCTTGAAACATGTCTTAAATAATTACGATCCAAAGAAGGATTATCATTAAATTAATTCAACACGAAAATCCTAATTTTTAAATAAATTTTCACCATAAGGAACCAACAACCAACTGCTTCAAACCAACGTATCATTTAGAGAAAACGGAAGCTAATATTCAAGCACGATTGATTCTCCTAGAAACATATTTTAAATAATTCGAATTAATTCGACGAAGCAATCCTAGTTTTCAAATAAATTTTCACTCAGAGAATTATAGGGAACCAACTGTCTCAAACCAGCGAGTCGTTTAAAGAACATCATCCAACTGCTTCAAATCAGCGTGTCGTTCAAAGAAAGCTGAGATTCAAGGACGATTCCTTTTGAAACATGTCTTAAATAATTACGATCCAAAGAAGGATTATCATCAAATTAATTCAAGACAAAAATCCTAGTTTTTAAATAAATTTTCACCATAAAGAACCAACAACCAACTGCTTCAAACCAACGTGTCATTTAGAAAAAACGGAAGCTAAAATTCAAGCACGATTGATTCTCCTAGAAACATATCTTAAATAATTCGAGTTAATTCGACGAAGCAATCCTAGTTTTCAAATAAATTTTCACTCGGAGAATTATAGGGAACCAACTGTCTCAAACCAGCGAGTCGTTTAAAGAACATCATCCAACTGCTTCAAACCAGCGTGTCGTTGAAAGAAAGCTGAGATTCAAGGACGATTCTCCTCGAAACTTTCGCACGTGTAACCTCGCACAATCTCGAGCGATGATCTATCACAACGAAGGCGTGAGCGTGGATCGCGCGTCACAGTGGCAAGGAGAAGACTAGCGTAGCGAAAAAGAGGAACCAAGGGATGGAGGAACCATCGATATTCATCGAGCAAAAGGCAAGTCGAGGCGACGAAGCGCAACGATGCGCGCTAGATTGGCCGGCACTTTCGCAGATATGAAATTATTGCTCGGGCCAGCAGCCCCTGTCAAAGGATCGACTGACAAGCGATCTCGAACGAAGCACGACAGCTTGACTAATGCGGTTACCACCAGCGCGTCCCCTCGTGATCTAACCGAACGAAATATTCTCGTGCTCGCGGGAGAAGAAGCTGATGTCACGAAATCAAAGCTCCCCTTGCCCCCTAACGAAGAAATCATCCTTTCCACCGCATCAGCGGGAATTCTCCTGATTTGACCTTTTCCTTTCCTTCGTTCGTTGCGATCGATATGCAAGAGAAGAATGGGGCCGGTAATTTCGATTTATTTGTTATTGGCGTTTCGTTACTCGCGATTGAACCGTTTTATTAAATTCGAGTAGAACGAGTCGGGCTTGTTCACGACGACGATGACGATGTTACTTTTTGAATAATACCGAGAAATCGAATAATTGGAGAGTTTGACCTCTCTTGCGCTGGAATTACGAGAATTTTGTCCGAAAATTGCAATATGTTTTCTTAGTTTTTTTTTTTTTAAGTATATTTAAATACAGCCCAAGCAAAACAAATAATAAATTTGTTACTTCTCAATAATTTCTATCCAGTGATATCATAACGACGAGTTCAAAAGAAAAAGACAGCGACCAATTACTGTGTACGGTTTGGTCACTCGTTGTGGTCCGCAATCAGTTGCCAGCGCGAGTGGTTGATATTAAAAATTGGAAAACTGATAGATTAGACTAACGTGAATTTTGTGTACCAAAGGATTGTCAGCAAAGATTGAATGTTACATTTGAAATTATAATCATTCCTAAGGGAAAATGTGTAAAATTCGCGACAATGTTAAGGAGATGATCGAGGCGTTGATAGCTTGAAATTAAAAATTGTGAATATTCTTGTTTTTATTTAAAAATGGTGAATTTTTGTTAAGTTCAAGGTGTCAGGATATAAAATGACCGAGGAATTGAAAATAGTGGAGCACAAAAATATTGCAGGCATTCGCACAATTTTATATTTTCGTTCCACATTTTTATTTTTCGTACCTTTGCACATTATACAATTCTACATAAGTTTTTCATACAATTTTACAGACATTCGCCGTCTACTTCTCAGAATTTACTTCATTAATTAATTCAAAGTTAAACATAGTTAAACGTTGACTGTTACGTCACTTTACACGTTGGAAATTGAGACTGTAAAGTGTAACAGTGAGGAATTAAGCGAAGGGAGTAGATTTACCAAAAAATCGATTGAACTGGCAAATAAATTCAATATCTAATAAAAATTGCAGTCTAGTTTTCATTTTATCCGAAATATCTTTCTTCCCGCGTGTATCCTTGGATTGTCCACGGTCAAAATGCAAACCGACTCCACGTCACACAGGATCTGGTTAACAAATTAGCTGTCAGGTATTTTAGCGCTATCAATAACAGAGCCGTGGCTCGCAGTATTCTCGAAACGTGCGGCTCGTAAACCGTTGTGCTCGAGCGGGTAGCTGCACACCTGACAGTCGAATATTTTATTACTTACGGAAGTTCTAGCCTTCTCCATCCGTGGACCGTGACCCTCAAGGTGCGGTCAAACTCGCTCGACAGCCGCGCAATATGTAACATGAACTTCTGATGTGTTCTCCGCGAGGAATTCAACCAACAGTCGCACGTGTTCATTCCGCTCGTGCCCGGAATAATTCTCAGTCGTTCAGAGCCCTGCATTTGACAATGTAATTCGTACGTTTCGTGCGGGGAATACAACGGCTATAAAAACATTATTGACACATTTCGAAATTCGTGTCGTGCTTTAACACCAAAAATAGTCAAAATGTTTTGTAATTTTTCGTCGAAATTTTTTTTTTTTTTTTACGTTCATAGATTATAGTTATAGTTATAGGTTTTTAAAGATTCGAACGATATTTCGTGAAATATTTAAATACATTTTCCTTTTGCATTGTCATTTTCCACTTTGGTTCTTGGCAGTGTTCTGAGCGCTGAAAAAGAGGGACATCGTTGAAACTTGAGAATTAAAAAATTCGAGAAACCACCGAACCTTTGATATGTAGAAATTTGTAAGATCGAAGACGTGAGAGTTGATTGAAGGATCAACAAAATTTGAACGTTTGAAAATCCCCACCGGCCTGCGCGGCGAGTGAAATTTCCTGCCAGCGAAACCCACGAAACTCCCACGTTCTCGAATTCCCAAAATCCCACGCTCTCGATTACCATTTCCCAAAACGCAACGAAACCAGAGACGACGTTGGTCAACGCGACCAATCAAAGTTTCCCAATTGCGCGGTGGACCACCCCTCTCAGTCTCAGTGCCCTGCAATCCCCGGACGTCGTGGAACGAAGTCCGTAGTCGAAGGACCTGGTGATTGCTACCGTGAAACGAAGCGTGCAACGAGTACACGCTTTCTTCGTTCAGTTTGAATACATAGGCGTGTGCACACAGTCGCGTTACATGCCACACAGAGCGCGGAGAAGGAAGAGACGGTCGCGCGCGAGTAACCGTGTGGATCTCCTTCGCGTAACAAGACACTGCAAAGTAGGAGAGTACATATTGATCTTCCATTTCCTGCGGCTGGAACCTCCGGGGCCTCGAGCCCCGATGCCTCGGTGAATCGCGATATTCGCCGTGGCGTGTCCTCCCACGTTGTTCGGCGAACGATGACGAGGGCCAGGGTTCTTGCCGGGCTCTTGCCAAGAGACTCTTAACCATGGAGTCCCACGAGGCACCGATTACACGAATCGGTGATTCATAATCGTCGTTCGGGCTTCCTTCCTTGAATGCAATCACGGCCGTGGGGCCCGACGAAGGAGAAAGAAGAAAAGGGACGAGTACGGGGAAGGAAAGAAAGTCTCGAGGAGCTTGATTTCCATGGGTCGATCCTTTGGTCTCTTATTATTCACGAGAACGCCTGAGGAAAGTTTCGAATTCATTGTATGCTTGACGAGAAGATGGATTTTTATTTGCTTGGTTAGGTTGGTTAGGTTCAACTACACTAACTAACTACGCTCTAGTCAGATTTCTAGGTTGATCAACTACACTAATTGACTACACTGCAGTTGGATTTTTAGGTTGGGTTCTTAGGTTTCAGGTTAAGTTGATCAACTACGCTATCTACGCTGTAGTTAGATTTTTAGGTTAGATCGGTCAGCTACACTAATTAACTACGCTGTAGTCAGATTTTTAGGTTTGGGTTAGGTTAGGGTTCTAGGTTTCAGGTTAGGTTGGTCAACTACACTAATTGACTACACTGCAGTTGGATTTTTAGGTTGGGTTCTTAGGTTTCAGGTTAAGTTGATCAACTACGCTATCTACGCTGTAGTTAGATTTTTAGGTTAGATCGGTCAGCTACACTAATTAACTACACTGCAGTCAGATTTTTGGTTAGGTTTGGGTTAGGTTAGGGTTCTATGTTTCAGGCTAGATTACTCAACTACACTAACTAACTGTACTCTAGTTAGATTTTTAGGTTAGGTTTGTTAGGTTCAACTACACTAACTACACCGTAGTTAGACTCTTAGGTTTGTTGGCGATTGGATTGGAAAATGATAGAATTGTATTTTTTAGGGCTTGTTTTCTGAATAGTTTCACTGGTTATTGGAGTTGTAATTTTACTTTGAGTTCAGTCACGAAAATGTCTGAGAAAAGTGTTTAATCTGTGGATATTTGAAGGGACTTTTTATTGGTTTATAGCTAGTTAAAATAAATTTTGTAATTAGATTTTTTAAATTTAATTGACAGTTTCATTAAAAACAGAATTGTATTTTTTGGAACTTGTTTCTTGGATCTAGTTTTACTGATTTTAGGGTTCTGGATTTAATCATAAAAATGTCTGATGAAAGTTCTGAATCTCCAGATGTTCGACGAAAGGTTTAATCAGTTAAATCGAATTAAGTAAATTTTAGATGTCTTGTTCGTTGGCGAGTTTCTTCACAAAAAAATATCTTCAGCCACTTACTCGCGAAACTAAGAAATCACATCTGAACGGAACACGGAACAAGAATCAATTATGCTACTCCCATAAATCTCAAACTGCCCCAAGAAGAGTTTTATCATCGTAGGTAGTTTATAACTTTACTTTAAAGCTACGGATCCACCACGTTCCACACGTACAGCGTGTCAAATGAAAGCCTCGAAACTTGCCTGCAACTTTACAAAGAGCGTTCGCTCTTTATTCACCGAGAGATTATTCGAAGAACGTTTCATTCAGAACACCATTTCATGGAGAGAAATATATCTTGCCGCGATATTTAACGCTATACAGACCGATACCGCGATTATGCGTTATTTGTAAAATAGTGATTAACAGCCGGATAGGTGACGCGCACGTCATTTACAATTTCAATTCTAACGTTTGCATTGAAACACATTAATATCGTGTATTGTCAGGGCGAAATTGAAGAAATTAAAAATTCTGTGTACATTCGAATAAAGGTTTTTTTTCATTTATAAAAAAAGTAGCAGAATTTTCCATTTTTAGTTTGTATACGAAGTAATAAGTCTTTGTAGTACTATGCGCCATCAGAAACTCTAACTTTCATAAACCTGTTCGCCGTAAAAGAGAATGGTTATTGCAACGTTTTAAAAGAAGTGTGTTTGGTATTTATTTATGACCATCTCAAGTATCTTTCCCGGTGCACAAATATACGTTACTTTCCTTTTCCGGAAGAAAAATTTTGTAAGATACTCTTATATTTAGAGGAATGTTTCGCATCTAACCTAATGTGAAAGAAAACTTTACTAAACTAAATATATTTTACTAAACTTTACCAAATATACTTTTCTAAAACTTTATAATTTTATTAAAAACTTTAAATATTTAGTATTTAAATATACTTTATAACTTTACTAAAAACTTTAAATATACTTAATAACTTTTCTAAAAACTTTAAATATACTTTATAACTTTACTAAAAACTTTAAATATACTTTATAACTTTACTAAAAACTTTAAATATACTTTATAACTTTACTCAAAACTTTAAATATACTTTGATATTTAAATATACTTTATAACTTTACTCAAAACTTTAAATATACTTTGATATTTAAATATACTTTATAACTTTACTAAAAACTTTAAATATACTTTAATATTTAATATTTAAATATACTTCATAACTTTGCTAAAAATTTTAAATATACTTTAATATACATATATGTTTAAAACTATATATCTTTGTTGTTATTCATTTTGATTTCTTTAATACACAAATTTCTAGAAAGGACCTCTTCGTAATAATATAATAAAGTTCCTTTGATCTCTGTCCTCATTCTACGCTACTTTCACAAAGAAGTGCCGGCCATTCGCCGGCCATGGTCATATATCGGAAATATCGCCGGCCTGTATAGCGTTAAGAACGCGTTACGATACAAATTGCGTTCGTTGGAATGCAATTCACGAATGCACGAGCAACGACGCCTGACGCTATTGATTTCGCGTTCCATAGAGCCGCTGCGGGATACAAGTGTCTTATTGTCTGAATAGCCCGCGGCTCTCATTGTTCGAACGTTCCAGATGTTAATTCTAGGTACATCCGGATGAAACACGGCCGCCTTTTCGTGTCTCGTGAATACGAAGAGCAAACGAACCGGCGCGGTGACCGTTTTCACCGAACGTGGAAAATATGTCGAATACTCTGTCCGCGATTTTTCCTATGTACGCTAGACGGTACAGAGATGGAAAGTAGGCTGATCGAAATACCACAGAGAGAGAGAGAGAGAGAAAGAATGGTACAATATTTTTTTTCTCTCTTTTCTTTCTCTCGTCCAGGTTCATTGTTTGACGGGCTGGTTTCCTTTTCTAGAAAAGTGATTCGAGAATTCTCCATTCGGGGATATTGGAAAGCATTGGATGTCTGATTATAAAACGGAGTCATCGATCTGGATCGATTAATTCATAAACGATGAATTCGATTTCTTTAAACTTTCAATACTGACAAAAAAGTAGCATTGGAAGGAAACTGGAGAAACTTTTCTAAATATTTTTATACCATATTATACGTCTTTTACTTGGAAATAAAAGGTTTTGAAGCATACAATATTTCTATAAATAATGCTTAGACTTTGACCGATTGGTTGATCAAAATTTCGGATTCATGGAAATAAGAATTAAAACTATTTCTAAGAGTTATAAAACAATAATGAATTAGCAGTTCCTAATTTATGTTAAAAACATTAGTGTAAAATCAATAGGAAACTCTATCTAGCACTCATAGATCCAAATAATACAACGAGTAATCAAACAATATAAATCATAAAACAATGAAACAATAAGTATTATCATAATAATAATTTTGAAACTATAATGTAGTTTTATGATTTTTGTATATTTGTATCAACTCTTTGTGTTTTGAAGTTTTAAAATTATTACAGTAATACTTGTTTTAATAATTTTATTGCTGTTATTATTTTTTATGACTTATGGTTATTATTATTTCGTTTGATTACTTATTATATTTGGATCTGTGATTGCTGTGGAGAATTTTTCACTTCTGTATTTTCCTTGGTGTTCCATATGTGTTGACTTTGTATCTTTATATTGTGACTATATAACCTGACAGTTTTTTTTAATTATTCCAAATATAATAAATATAATAAATAATAAAATAATAAATATAATATATATAATAAATATAATATATATAATAAATATAATATAATAAATAATAAAATAAATATAATATAATATAATAAATAATAAAATAAGTATAATATAATATAATAAATAATAAAATAAATATAATAGAATATAATAATTAATATAATAAATATAATATAATAAAATAAATATAAATATAATAAATATAATATAATAAAATAAATATAAATATAATAAATATAATATAATAAAATAAATATAATATAATAAAATAAATATAAATATAATAAATATAATATAAATATAATAAATATAATATAATATAATAATAAAATAAATATCAATAAACGAAATAATTAATAATAACAACAGAAATGAATAAGAAGTAATCTGACAGAACCGGAAACCATCACCTGTCGAAACTTCGCGCGAAACTCGACGAGGGAAACGGCCCTCGGGGCTCGGAACGATCGGTACGCCGATAGATCGACGCGACTGGCCGAAAATGGAACCCTCGTTAAACCGCGCGATTCATCATTCGCTGAGGAGTCTTTAAGGACGATTAAGCAACACGTCGGACGAACAAGAGGGTCAACGAAAACGTGTCCCACGTCAAACCTGTTTTCCTACGATGCTGTTCGCAACGACGCTTTTCAACCCCTCGTTGCCAAACTTGGTTAACCCTTTCGAGTAACTGGAGCATGCCTGCTTGTGCTTCTTTTTTTCTCTCTCTCTCTCTCTCTCTCCCCTGTCGTGCCTTCGAGGCTCGTTTTCAACGGAACTTATCTCCGTCTCGAACGTACATATACGCGCGAGCTAGGATGTTCGCGAGAGGGAGTTGGAGGATCTCGGTAGGCGCCACCGCCTCAAGCAATCTTGGATCCAAATTGAGCCGTACTTGCGACGAGACGACACGCGCCCTTTGATTAAACCCGGTGTATTATTGACGAGGAACTGTCTTGTCCTCGGCGTCGTGAAACTTCACGCGGCCTGCCTCTGCTGCTTGCGAACTTTGTCGCGAACTTGGTTGAGAGTTCTTTGAGAAACGCAACGTTTCGTTTGAAATCTCTCTATCAATATATATATATATATATATATATATTGTATATAATTTGGATGTGAGAGTTTTGTTTCCGACTCGATTGTACATTTCGAAATTTAGAATCAATTTTCTGCACGTCAATCAATTATATTGTAATCAACCAATTCCCAATGTGTACTTTATTCGAGAATATCTACAGACAATATTGTAAGAGTAATATTAATTTAAAATCTCGGTGAATTACTCGCGTTACAAAATTCTCTTCATTTTATACTGCATTTTACTGTCTGTTATTACTGTTATTTAAGGCAGCATCTTAGGAAATTGCAAATAATACTCCAATCTAAAATTTCAATAAACTAGCTATTAAAAATTTCTTATGAAATTTTTTTCACTTTATATAGCCAATATAAAGCTGTATTATCAATTTTATTTAAATCACGATCAATGTAAAATTTCAACAAATATCAAAATTTTATATCGATCTTGGGATATTGTTTCAAAAGATGTTACCTTCAAACATTCGTTACAAAGTTCTCTTTATTTTTGCATAGCCAGTAATCTATAAGCTTACATGGAAACTAAAGATAAAATTTCAAACAAATTGCCCTAAAAAATTTATTGTAAACTTCTCTTTATTTTACCGTAGCATTTTATCTATCCATGTCCTAAAAGTAGCAGTGTCTTCTTTCTGCTTTCAGGTACGTACCTGCCGCCACAGCGCCGCGAGTCCCTCCCTGACGTCTCGAGCGTGCATTAACGTGAGTAGATCAAAGCACCGAAGAAATATTCGTACCAGCTATCTCCCCTCGCCGCCCGGAAACACAAAGCGCGTCGTCTTTTTCTCGATAATGAAACGGGCGGGAGGGTAAGAGCGAGGTGAGCCGCGATTGTTTCGTACGCGTAACGTAATCTCGGGGGAGTGGAAGCGGCGTTCTCCGTGGCGGAGGATAAAATTTCAATTTTCGGCGGGAATTTTCCACGAAATCTGCATAACTGAGGAGATCCGCGAGACGCGACGTGCGGCAGGGAAAAAGGGGGTGTACGCGTCGGAATCGAAGGAGGCAGTAAATCTTTTAAGTCCCCGACGATTTTTGCGCCAGAACCGCGAATAAAAAGAGATCGACGCCGGGGACGAGCTCGTTGAAACTTTTCTCCTCCGCTGGAGAGAGATTCTTGAAACGGACTGGTGAAATTTCTAGACGCGAGATGGAACTCGAAGAGAGAAATCGGCGATGTAGATTTGAAAGAACAGCAAGTTGGAGAGGTTTCGAACAATGAGAAATCCTAGAAATAAATACCACAAGTGGCGAAATGTCGAGTAAATAATTCAATAAATTAAATTTTTATACAAGTGGATAATATAAATTGAAATTTCACACAACAAGGAATTACAATTTTATTGTGAAATTACACGTTTGTTCAATATTTCACGTTTACGCACGTGAACGTAGTTTTAGAAACATTTTCGAAATTTTATTACCTACCGATAAATACCGAAAGACTGGTTCTAATAATTTCGAGCGCTAGTGTAAAGACTAACACTAACTCTGCATATCTGTATTTTATTTACTTGTTTGATTGACGTTTATCGCCGTCTGATTTTGTTGAAACGTCGTAATTTTGTTTGGAATTTTTTTATTTGGGCAAATCTCCGGGTGGAATTCGGTAAGCAAACGACAGGTATCGAGAATTTGTGAATTGTGGGCTTATTTCTTATCCGTTTTAGGGTGAACTACCCTCTTTCGCCCGGTTCGATTCGGCGCGGATTCGAGGGTGTTCTTTCCGAATGCCGAACGTTCGTTTGAGATGCTCTTTAGAAAATTTGAAGTTTACCTACGTAAGATGACAGATTTTCACTTGAATTTTCAAACAAATATTTGTCCGAAAAAATGGGGTGCTTGTTTGAACGAGGTGAATATTTTTCGCTTTCATCGACGATTTAGGCGCCAAGCTTCAATCAATTTACCGTTTTTTATTCTTTGAAAGAAAATACGACGACTCTTGATTTTGCAATCGAATATTTAATCCCAGTTTGTATGATCCGGGATGAAAATTACATCTCAACAGATATAGAAACATAGAGAGTGTTTGATCATTTGTTTTTTGAATTTTATTATTTTTGTATATTTCATGATTATAAATTTTAAAGCGGCATATTCAAATATATACTAACACGGGGAAGAAATGAGGGAGCACAAGATCACAAAAATCCATTAAACGAACACGAAGATGAATAACAAGATCAACTCTTTGTCTAACGATTTCCAAACTTCTTCGGTATTAAGAATATTAAACTGTTGCATATAATTTTCAATCTTCAACGCAAAGAATTTAAATTTAAAATTCGAACTTACATTAAATCTAAAATTCAAACTTTCATTATACTGAAAGTATAATTCGTACCAAGAGCATGATTAGAATTTTTTTCCAATATTCCTAGATAATCGTTACCTATCGCAATTGTAACATTATTTTAGATACGAAAACGTTGAAGCTCGTTGAAATTATTTCTTATTGACGTTGAAAACTATCTACCACGCTCATTATCACGTTCAGTTCGAAGAAACTTCGAATTAAAGTTGCGATTTGCTTTTTTTTTAACACTTGTACGACGAGCGTGGCTATTGTAGGACAGGGGGTTAAAATTCCACGAAATTCCCGATTGATCGATGCTTTCGATATTAGAGGGAAAGCAGCGGGAGAACGATAGCACCTGTATGGTTTACGGCTTTATGCCTTGACGACAGGCGGCCTCTTCATTTCTATTAGCCTGCCTTCGAGTCGCTTCCACCCTTTCCCCATCGCTCTCGCTGGGCCTTCCACCAAGAAGCCCGAGAGAGAACCCGTGACACAAGCTCGAATCCAACCCTCGCCCTAAACCGCTCGCTCACCCTCTCGCGTGCCCGCCGTTCATCCTTCCCTCTATTGTTCTTCATTCTCCCT